AGTCACCACAGGGTGGAGGCTCTGTTGTAAAATCATCTCCTCAGCCAACAGTAAGTGGAGCACGGTTGCACAACAGGAAAGCAGGTGTGGTGAATGCCATTTCTGCAGGAGCCTTCAATGTGATGTCCTCCTAGTGGGTTGGGACTTTGGCTCCCAGATTTCCCAGTCAGAATTTTGAAATTGGTCCCAGTGCATTGCAGGGGAACAATTCGTGGAGAATTCAGGTACAGAGCATCCCCATTGTTCTCTCTTTGAGAAGATTCATAGCTGAAGCCTTACCTGACTACCCACCAACCATCAAGCAATTTATGGATAACTTCTATGGTTTCTCCTTCCTTCAAGGAAATCTCATCTTCCTGAGCAGCTGTGTAACCTTTTTGGACAATATGGAGTTCCCCTTAGAAGAAGAGAGTTGAAACTGATGTCAGGTGCCCAAAAACATTTATTGTAACCGCTTTCATTCATTTAGGTTCCCTTTTAAATCTTGATTTCACTCAGCTACTCATTTTACAGATTGGAATTGTGGAGGGTGAAACCAGCTTATGCACACAAAGTGTGAATGAGAGAAGTGGGACTAACTTAAGTTAGAGCTGAAACAAATTCTGAGGGACAATCAAAGCTTCATACAAATCTAATTCATTTTTTTATATTTCAACTAAACTGGTTTCAACCAGCAACCTCTTTTTAATGTCTTTTCTTTTTAACCAATGGTGAATATTTTCAGTTAATGAGGCATTCTAACAGGAAAATGGGCTTAACAATTTAAATGTTTTTAAAACACACTTATGGTAGCTTCTTCTGATTTATAATTCATAGAGCTGAACTAGACCCACACTTTGCAAAGCCATCCCAGTTCACCTTTCTATTAATTGATCAGCTTTATATTAATTTTTACTCAATATTTATTAATAACTTGATATTTTGTGATACACTGCTTACTGATCACTGAAACACATATCCTGTACTATTTTTGTTTAGTGTTTATTGATCACTAAAAATATTACAGTAACTTTTGGTATCTTTTGAAAGAAATCATATACATTATATGACATAAAGTATAATACATATAAACTATCCTTTTAAAAATCTAAGATGTCGTATGCTCTTTTTTTTCCCTCACAACAACTACCTTGCAATGAAGAGGTTCTCTTTCAGCTCCTTTGCCTAAAACAATTACATTTGCCTCAGATTAAGCTTTTTGGTGCTGATTGAAGCCAGTTTAGATGAAATATTTAAAAAAATGAATCAGATTTGGCTGAAGTTTTGATTGTCCCTCAGAATTTGTTTCATCTCTCGCTCTATGGTTGTTAAACCGAATCACCTTTGATTTTGCATTCTGAACCAATCTGGCCTTTATTGCTAATTATTTTAAAATATTACATTCAAATCTGAAAGGAATAAAGCCATTCAGAGACATCCTTAGCTCGCTCGCTCACTTGCTCGTTTATTTATCTATCTATCTATCTATCTATCTATCTATCTATCTATCTATCTATCTATCTAT